AGGATCACTGAAGTAGATAACCGCTAGGTCCCTTTCTAGACATAAATATTATCACAGCAATTTATCTAAGCCCTTCTTGAAACTACTTACATGTTCAACATGTAGCGGTTAAACACTTTTAAAGTGTCTTACTCTCTGTGTAAGAACTTTCTTGTATTTGTCCTAAAGTTACCTCTTCTTTGAGTGATCTGGACTCCAGCCTCTTTCACTTTCAACTGTTTTCCTCCTCTAGCTGTATCCTGGAGTTGCTGCTTCTCTACTCATGACTTTGACTTTTGCCAGGGACTAACACTTACTGGCTACAGGTCACCACAAGCCCCTGCAGTCTGATGCCACCAGCTTCATGTGGGTCTGAACAGAAAGGATGAACTGGAGAGACCAGTCTGGACTTTAGTCTCCACTTTATTGTCTATACTTCCATCCAAAGCTCTGTAGTATGCCAGACTTTACTGAAAGTTGGAGATAACCAATCAGAAATAAAATGTCTGATTTTGTTTGATTCAAAAGTAATGCCAAATAGGACTGGTCTCACAAAATAAAAGCATCCCCGAATGTTGCCTCTTACAGGGCACCCACCTGACGATGTACCTCAATTCCTCATGGAGCTTCCTGCTCTCTCATGAGTTCTCCTCACACAGAACTGTCCCTTTGTACAACCACAGTGAAATTCTTTACCCTGTCCTTACAGGGAAAGTGATGCTCATTCTCCAATTGATCCATCCCTAGGATTCACACTTTCCTTTCATCAGGGCAATTCTAGGACTTCAGTAACCCAAGTGAAGCTCTTCCCCAAATCTGACTTAATTAACTAAGGTTTATACAATGAGGGAGAGAGGTGGTGGTTTTATTAGGTTTCAGGTGAGCTGTGGTACTCCAGATCCAATTTTGGCAGGTTAAGGGTCAGATAGATGTCTCTTCTTTCCTCCTGCTTATGCAAGTGACAACTAAGGGAACACACATACACACACTTACACATTTCCCAAAGACTAGCATGTAATATAAGATGCTTTTCATCCATATTAAGCAAGAACAGCTGGTGTGAACAGCAAGCACCTGCTAAGGTATGACCTAATGGACACAGATTCCTGTCCTCAATGAATCTGGTGTCTTATTGTCTGGCAAAGCTACATCTCAGATTTGTTCATCTTCTAGTCCCTACATCTTCCCAGTGGCCTACAGGTGCATAAGGAATGAAGCCAATTACTCTGTTTCAAGCACAGAGCCAGCAGACCCTACATGGCCACCCTGTGACAACTCAAAAATCCAGCCCTAAAGCTTTGAGATATCCTACTGACCAGACCCTGTTCTTTAGAAGGGTATCTCTATACCATTATCTGAAAGAGTAAGGGAGGAGGGTGGGAGTGACTTTGCTGAACAGCCTCACCAGTGGGTTGTACTGGGATTAGTTATGTAGGCCTTGAGCATTTGGAAGTGATGATGACGCCATGTTTGTTTTGGTCTAGTTATTCACATTCTCATTAGCTTTTATCTTAGCTATTTTTTAGCCTTCATGCTTTTAGGCTGAATAATTATTATAAACATATTCTATCAACAGGTAGCCTCTTCCTCTTCCCCTACTCCATCATTTCAGTTAACTTTATCTACCTATACATGGCTGCTAAATGTTCACCTATAGGTTAGACCAGCTGCCAAGCTGCCATGCTCTGGACCATTGCTTCAGGTGATGGTTTCCAAATGTTTACTACTACCTTCTGTTTTGTCTTAGCTCTCTCAGGCTTCAACAGCTGACTCCTAATTTAAACTTCCCAAGAATTTGAAAATCACTCTGTGCCCATCCTAACTGAAATTCTCACTGATATAAACTGTAAAAATCACCTCCTCTTTTAACCTTTCACTTTGCATCTTGAAGGTATGTGATCAGTCTTGCTTATGATAAGTACTAATTAACATTTAGTTTAATTAATTTCTCTGATGGTTCTGAATAACAAATTTATCCATTCATTTAAACTTCTAATTGCAATTTTCTTAAATGACTCTGGTATAAGAACCTGGCTACCAGCATGCATGTGACTTTTAGGGCAAAAGATCAACTTCACAAAGATTCCTCTTGCAGGTGTAATGCATGGACAGCATGCTGGGACTATTGGAGGTTCAGACCTAACAACTGATAAGCTGAGTTGGAGGACTCTGACCTTGATTTAGAGGAGGCATGACTTTAGGCAAGTTATTCCATCTCTCCAAGCTTCAGTTCCATCATCCATACAAATGAGGACAATGATAATGTGTATCTTGTGTGACTGAGGATTAAATAAGATAGGGACCATAGTACTGGCCTATAGAAAGTCCAAGTAAACTCTTAGTATTGTAGTAATAAGTCCTTCTGGTGAACAATTTGGACATTGAATATGTCAGTGTTTTTCAAGTGCAAAGAACCATTTATATCAGAATCAACTTAGGTACTTTAAGACATGCAGATGCCTGGGTCCCACTGTAGACTTCCTGGGTCCTGCTTTCTTACACTGAGGCCTAAAGCATCTGTATTTCATCCAGCTGCCCAGATGTGCAGTGATGAGAGAGAATATAGGTCAACCTACTGCTGCTTCAGGGTTTCTGTGTGAGCTAAGCTGCAGATGGGCTGGGCAGAGTCCACCCACTTAGTAATACACCAGAAGTCTTATTGGCCTCAATTTCTGGAAAGTTCTTAAAGACCATTTTAAGGTGAAGTTATACATTGTGATGCATGGTAGCTATATTTGCCCTTGTCTCACTGTCCTCTATGAATCCTTTTCCATACCAGATTTTGGCAAAAACTAAGGGGCATGGGAAGAAAACATAAAAATAAGGAAGTCTGAAAGTGCTCTTTGCTAAAGTGGCAAGATAATTTATTCAGAAGGTACAGGGTTGAAGGGGAATAACTAATAATAATAATACAGAATGACATCCATTCATTATATTGGTGCCGACCACTGGACAGCTTTTGTGCCTATACGCATGTCCCTTGGGGAGAGCTGCTGGCTTGTAGTGAACATTATGAAGGGCTTTGCCTAGGTTTGGGTGAGCAGATCTTTGTTGACATCAGGCCAGTTTCAATTGAGCTTCAAGTCGTTAAAAATCTAGTTTTATTGGCATCTCAGAAAGGCAGGAATTGTTCTGTTTCTCTGGCACAATTCTTCTGTGAGGCAGGCTACAACTTGTTCTGTTTGCCCAATCTTCGATTAAGTCCCCAGGAGGAGGATAACCAGATTGTGTCACTTGGAAAGCACAGCGGTCCCCAGACAGGAAGAAGCCCACTGAGGCACTGGTTAGTCAGCTTCGTCCCCTCATTCCCCACACTGTAGGATTTCAGTGGCTTTTATGCTTGGCATCTCATGGACAGTTTGCTCCTTCCAAGGAGGACTGACTTGTGACAGGAATGCCCCTTTATGAGGAGTTTAAGGATTCTATAGATTCCTGAACAATCCTTCCAAAGGGTGGCTCAGGCCTTCGGATTGCTCCAAATCCAAGCTTCGATGTTTACTATCTGGGTGACCCTGGGCAGATGACTTAACTTCTGTGATCCCCAGACTCTATTCTTTGCCACCAATGTTTTTATGAAGGTTAAATGAGATACTGAATGAGAAAACCTGTAGACAATTCTGCATTTCAGAAGAGCTCAGACAATGGCAACTATGTTTCCTAGCATTGCTGAAAGGAGGTACATGGGAAATGCAGCTCTAGACCACTCTGGGGATTAAGACTTTAGCAAACTAAACTTAATAGGAGAATGTGAGACATGCGTAGTTTTAAGAAACTCTTCTTGACCCCGAAAGACAGTGGGCTTCTTTGAACAGATTAACTGGAGAAAGTAAACTCTGAAAGTCAGTCATAACACAGTCAAGCCTAGAAATCAATTCATAAACACTATATTTAAGGAACTAAGGCAGAAGTTTAGTAACAGAAGGAACCATAAATTCTAAACTTCGAGCTGTTTCAACTATATGCCAGCTGTCAAGAGAAAGATTAGTATTGGCCCAGAAAGTTTGCAAAACAATACTTTGGAAATAAAGAAGAATTATCTACAGGTTAACATTGCTGTATGTAACAGGTGCTTTTTGATATTAACATTTCTTTGCCTAATGCTGGACATAAGAAACCAATGATACATCATGTCTTTTTCTGTTGTTGCTTCAACATAAACACCCTCATTTCAATGCAAGGAAGAGTTTCACTATCACAGCCTTGTCCACTTCCTTCCCAAGGCAGCCAAGAAAGCAGCCAAGGTATCTCATCCTATTAAAAAAATGTTTTTGGTGGTACTTAGGGTTTGAATTCAGAGTCTTGCACTTGCTAGGCAGGTGCTCTGCCTCTTGAATCATGCCCTCAAGCCCCCTTTTTTGGCTTTATTTTTTGAATAGGGTCTCTCATTTTTTTGCCCAGCCTGGCCTGGATTATTTCTATTTATTTCTGCTTCCTGAGTGGCTTGGGATGTTAGGCACAGGCCAGCATGCCTGGCTTACTGATTGAAATGGGAAAATGGGATCTCTATAACTTTTTGCCCAGGGATGGCCTTGAATTGAGATTCTCCTGATCTCTAACTCCCAAGTAGTGGAATTATGGGTGTGAGACTCTGCAACTGGCTAAAATAATTTTAAATTCATGAGTAAGTAAGATAAAACCATTCCAGTGTAGTTCATGATTTCCTGCTTCATTGATAATATTCAAATCAAATAGACACTATTATTGGAAATATAAGAAAGAACTCAACATATAGTATACAAAATTATTTATTAGTTCAAAAAATTTGTTCGTTACACAGAAAAGTTAAACAATGAGAAGTTCCCTACAAGGATTTTAATTGTGCACATATAAAGTCAGAGTGGCTGTATGACCAGGTTTGAAGAGCTCATATGAATGCTTACATTAACATCAAGAAACTGAAAAAGTGACATGTAAATCTGCTTGTAATATTTTGTTAATGGACTGCATATTTCCAAGAGTCATCCAGCCATGGTAGAAAAATAGACATACTCATACCATATTCCAAATTCATGTAACTTCTATTAACTGTAGCAGATGTCAGAGTTTGTTTCCCTCTTGTAGAAATCACTGGCGGGGGCCACGGGGGGAGCAAAATCCCCGCAGTGTGTGGTTGGGTAGAAGTATTCCGAGGTTCTGAGGACTTCCAAGTGCTCTGTGTCACAGGGTGAGCAGTAGCAGACTGGGGTGGCCGTGGGGAAACAGCTGTGCTGGGTGTGTGAGGGCAAGCGGTGGTAGGAACAGTCCTCCGGAGGGTAGCCATGGTTTAGGGTGTCCACAGAAGGGGGATAGTTGAAATTTTCTGGACTGTATGAGGGCAGCTGAGCAGGGGGGTAACTGTAGTCAAAGCAGCCAGAGAGACTGGAGGAATCCGAGGGCGATCCCAGGGTCTAGAGAAATGAAAACCAAGGAACATAGAGCTTGTTAACTTAGACAGGATCAAAAGAACTGAACTGTGTGGAGTTATTAACTCAGAAGAAGAAAATGAGGGGTAAAAACAAAACACCCACCCAAGTCCACAGCAGTAACTGTATTTGCTGACTCCATGATTTCATGACACCACATTCTGTATTTACCTTTTTTTTTCCCTAACAATCAATTGTCTTGCTTCACTGGCTTCCTTTGTTATAGCCCTACTTTAGACGATGTTTTGTTCTTAAACCACAAAACCCCATTGTACTTCAGTCACCTGCACATCAAATCCCACTGTGTGCCACAATATAAGTGGCAGGTGGCACCTTGGATGTTTCTCCTCACCCTTGACAGTGAAGAACCAGGTGAATAACAAAGGGAGAACTTGGATCCTGAAAGATCCAGCCTGTGGGACACTCCTACATGAGAAACAACCCTTCCTGCCACCAAAGTCTTGTCCCCTGAGGTGAAGGGTACCGTCTGCTTTCTCCAAAGCAAGCCTGTAGTTGCTACCGAGAAAGTCTAACTTAGAGACTGGAAGGGACTGTGTGATCCGGACCCAGTTTTTTCCCCATGACAATATACAAATTCTGCAGAGTTAATTTCTTATTCCAAGATTTATTCTGCTGCTTATATAGGCTTTTAGCAAACCAAAAGAAAAAACTTCATATTTCTTTTTTTTTTTTTAAAAAAAACCTTACATTTAAAGATTTAAAAAATTACAAATCTCTAAAAGGCATCTAAAACAACTAGTATTACTAATGAAAACATTACTTATTGAAAAGGACGACCCATTTTTGAACATTTGAGATCCATAAAGAATTGACAATTCAAATTCTTTGAAAGATCAGGGCTTCATTTTACTTATCATCTGAGGCCCAAATGAATTTTTGTATCTACAGAAGATTAAAACAATGAATTAGTAGAATCAATTCAGTATCCAAACCAAACCATCCCCTCACCTGAATGAAATTTTATAATGTATAGATGCAGCCTGAATCCTACTGTCAAGAATTAAAAAACTCAAGGGTTATTTAAGTTTAAACATTGATTTCCAAATTAGCAGATGTCTTAACTTCACAGTTCAAAAAGCAGTAAGTGAGCAGGAGCAGGGAATGTTTTATTGCCACACATCCAGTTACTTGGAAAATCATAATTGTGTACTTAATAGTTTATGCCCTGCAACATGTTCACACCCTGAATCCTTGTTGATAGAATTTGTGTGCTTTCTCACGAGAGATGATGTAAACTGTCTTGCAAAGCATTACTACCCCCTACTTAGCAGAAACCAGGTTGTATGAAGAATGGAGATGAATTACCAGGCTCTGGCTAAAGCAGAAAGGGGCCGTTTGGAAGCTGTCAGGGCAATAGTAGGGAGCACTTTGCGTGGAGTTGAGCAAAGGCTCCTGGAGTGTTTCTGTCTGAAGATAGGAATCAAAGATCTGGTCCAGGCAGCTTGGATTTTCTTCACAAGAAACACAAGTGGAAAATTCTCGGGGTTGAAAACAATTGGTTGTAGAAGACATCGGTTCAGGCTCAAAATACAGTCCTAGAGGAGAAAGGGAGAAGATGTTTGCTTAAAAACTGCCAAATGGATTTGAAAGGAGTTTTCTTTATTTTCTGAATATTTACTATACTTAAGAGGAAAACGGTATTCGAAAAATTCTACAAAAGTAAGTAGGCACATGATTTGGGCTTTTTAGTTGTCTTAGCTAATTAAAGTGCCAGTGAAATGAATCTGGTTAAAAATATGGCAATTGGCTGTCAATGGGGTTTGGGCAAAAATAAAGGATGGTGGCCCAGCCTGTGTCCAAGTGTCACAGTGGAGTCATGGCTCAAGGCTCTGCTGTCTTGGATTAGAAAACAAACCATCAATGAGTCCCTGTCTGTGGTTCAAGCAAACCTCTCAGAAGTAACTGGGAGATCTGTTAGAGACCTTGAGAAAACTTCTGATGCTGTAGGGATAATCCTCCTGGTTTATTGCTTTCCTAAACTTTTCACACTTGTTCTTTTCACACTTGCTAACTTCACTTTTGAGGAAAGGGTTTTGAGAAGTGATGATATAAATGCCAATGTAAAGGCCAAAAATGGAAACCAGGAATGTACAGTACAAATTAGTACTACTTGTTTAAAATTACAAAAAACAAAAATGTTTTCTTTGGGGACATGTTAAAATGATAATGCAGTGAAAAAACTGGTAAACACCCTACAAGAATAATTTGAAAAACAAATTTTCCAGGTTAGTCTTAATAGACTCAATGTGTGATATCCTTAAATGCTCAAAGAAGAGAGGTTTCAAACACACCACTAATGGGGGCTACAGGACACTTGAGACTTCTTTTGAAGTCTCAAGTTCCTTTAAGGTTAAGTGCAAGGGATGCATGCAGTGGAACCACCATAAGTACAGTTTTCTCATATGTGACCTCCTTAAACTCTTAGCTGCTGAGTAGCATAGGAGGGAGTGTTTATGTAATAGTTATTCGTATTGGGCTGGGAAAACTTACACTTGTTTGAACTGCTTTCTGGGAAGACAGAAAAGAAGGGGAGGGAAGCCCCTGTCGGCTAGAAGCTAAATGAACAGGAGCAAAGGCTTTATTCTAGCACTTCAGGATGTTCTGTGATCCATCTAACAGCACACTAAAAAAGATAACAAGATTCTGGAAAAACAATTCCGATTTCACAGTCAAGTTTAGTTACTTGGACATGAGAAAGCAGAATCAAGGTAGAGAACAAAGTCTAGGGACAGAACAGACAGCAGAGAACGGAAAGGTCAGAAATGAGGACAAAACGTTGAACTTGTTTCCTTGCTGGGATTGCATCTGAAGTCACTATGCCTTTTTCACCTTCGGATTGGTTGGATTCCAGTGAAATGGCAGTGCCTATCTTGACACCTGAATCCAGCACTGAAAGGCTTTCGAGATGGGCTTTGGAAGGCGTTTTTGAGGCAACTGTGATGCTGGCTGGACTGACCTGCAGAGGATGGTGCAGCTGGGTCTGAAAGGTGCGTGCTGCTGCCTCCCGAAAGCTGCAAAGCAAGAATACGACTATGAAGCAGACAGAAGCACAGAAGTTCTACACAGAGGAAGAGAGAACATCTTGACTGGAACGGTGTTTCCTTCTGCTAGCAGGTAAGCTAGATTCTTTCTTCTAAAAACAACTGCTTCCTTAAATACAACCAATATTGTATTTTATTTAGGTTCATATTTTATGACTGCTTGTGTGGGATTTCTTTTTTCTAATATCAGATTTCTTGGTTAAATTTTAAGTTACTAATTTTGGCAAAAAATAATGTAAATAACTTTTGTGATGCAGAAATGTAAGTGTTCATGAAAACTCAGCAGCCTTTGCATTAAATTACTTAATTTGTAATTAATAAGGACTAACAATTCATGCAATTATCACAGTAAATAATTTTCTTCAAATGTTTCATGTACCACCTAGTTTCTTAGTCTTAGGAATTCGTTTCTAAAAGAAAAACAATTCCACACTTTGTTAAGCCTGAGTAGCTAAAAATAGTCACATGTTGTTAATATTATGAACTCTTAAAGTAGAAAAGATAGAAAAGATAGAGAAGATTTTCTTAGAACTGTAGCCAGTGAGTCAGAGCCTATTATTCTAGTTTATGGTCACCAAATGGTTTCAATGGATTTTTTTTCTACTGTCTATAAAAGTTGTCTTTTTCATCATTGTATTTAATATGAAAGTTTACAACAGTGTTCTTTTTCACTATTTAAAGTAAAGCAGACTGTAGTTTCCAGTTGAATGGAGAAATACATTAAATGAGTAATTAGGATTTTTTGTTTTATATTTCAAGTGGTGACTTTAATGTTTAAAAGGACCAGCATTGCTCTGGGATTCTGGGCTGGGAAACCGAGATTACCACACCTCCCTTGGGTTCCACGGGATACTCACTCCTGCTCCCTGAGCCACTGGGCGCACAGCACAGTCAGTCACTGGTGAAACAGGAGGTGGTGTTAATTTTGAAAATGATCCATGCTGTAATGTCATGAACCAGGAAGCTGGAATCCTTTACTAGTTCTTTATGCAAATATTTGGCTGCAGTTTGAGCTGAAGGACTTGGAAGAAGGGGGTTTAAAAAAAATCTGCTTCATTGTAGAGCTCTCTTTAACCCTGTGTTCCCTCTGATTGGTCTGTTTGTCTGCTCCCGTTATCTCCCGAGGTATGTTTACAGTATGTTACTTGATATTATCATTCTAGTCATGGGTTCACTCTCTCCTTTGCTCCAAGAATACAAAGAAAGGCACCTCTCTCTTAGATTTCAAACAGCACAAAAATCCACAATTGAGAATTTATAAAAACACATCAAGGCTATTAAAAAAAACCCTAATGGTTAAAAAAAGGTAAATATAACTCAAGTTTCTCTGAGAGGGAGGGAGGGAGGGAGGGGGAGAGAGAGAGAGAGAGAGAGAGAGAGAGAGACAGAGAGACAGAGATTTACCAGTCTGGCACGCAGTTTCTCCTGGCTCAACTAGAGACCAGGATATTTGTCTCAATTTATAACTTCTATTCATGACTGTATTCTTGAAATTTCACACTGCAGCTGACTTTATAACAAATGAAGATAAATTTCTTCCTGCTTTGTAATACTTTATACAATGAATTCTGTCCTTGGTTTAAAGTTTCCCAGAAGTATCCATTAAGAATGGAACAAATGATAAGGAGATAATCTCTGTTTAACTAGAAAGGTCTGCACCACAGAGCAGGCACAAGTTATCCTTAGGTTTCTTCCTGCTGGGTATACTTTTGGAGCAACCCAGAATCCCACATCTTTCTGACGGCTCCTAGTGAGGGATTTCACATTTGCCACTCCTACTGAAATTCCATGTGTGTTACTCCTACATGCTTGTGAGGACATGGGCTGATAGAATCTTCCAGGAAGCAAAGAAGAGTGTGTTCTAGCAAGGCACTGGTTCAGAAGTTCTAATTTATTTCTTGGGGAGGAGAGGGGGAGAATTCAGAAAAAGATAAGTGAAACTGCTCCAGGGAACAGAAACTGGTCAGGTACACAAATGCTTTGGCTCCTGAAGCTTGCTAACAAGCCAACAGTGGCCAAGCACACTGTAAGCAACACAACTGGGGTGCTCATATGGAAGCCTCCACATACAGCTGAAGCAGAATTCTACCAATAGCAAGGCTCCTTAATGAAAGATTGCTTTATTGTGAGCATCATGGTTTTTTTTTTTTTGGGCCCCCAAAGCATTTTCTAATTCCCTCAGACCTAGTTTAATTAATTATATAACCATCTCTGAACTACAGGGGTCAAAATTACCAGACTCCTGTTTAGTATAATTAGATCTACAGAAAGATGAATTTGAAAGCCAACAGGTGGGAAAGGGAACGGTTTTTATACTAAAAATAAGATAACCTTAGTTCTACCTAACTCGACATTAGCAACTGCAAGACTTTAAACTTTAGTTACAGTAGAGGAATCAGATTTACTACCTCCTCTGATTTTTATAATTAAGTGAAATGATGAGTGTGCAAAATGCATTAAGAGTCACTGTAAAACCCTTTACCAGGCAAGGTAGTTTTAGCATTACTTGGAATTCTGCAGATGGAGAGGCTAACTCCTCCAGCTGTAGGTAGGTATCAAATCACAGCAATGAACAACCTGAACTCTAAATTCTGAACAAAGTATGTGATGAGCATTTCTGAACAGCTGGATTCCAATCCTTTGTGTGTGTGTGTGTGTGTGTGTGTGTGTGTGTGTGTGTGTGTGTGGTATTGGGGCTTGAACTGGCAGTTCTCTACCACTTGAACTGGCTGCTCCGCCAGTCCACTTGCAGTCCTTGACTGGAATTTTATTTTACTTTCTTTCCCAAATACTACAACATCTGTTGAACACGCACTGTGTGGAAAGGACTACTCCAAATGCTTTATATGCAATACCTCATTTTACCCTTACCAATCCATTATCCCCAATTTAAAGATGAGGGGAACAGGCAGGAGTGGCTGTGTAATTTGCCGGAGGATACATACCATAAAGGAGCTGAGAACTGAACCCAGTCCATCTTGCTCTGGAGCCTATCTCACTACCCCTACCTAATTTGCTCCTGCTATCTCACAAGGTTCTTTGTCAAAAACCCATTTTGTGAAGTCATACATGGAACACAAAGCACCAGGCACAAAAACTGTTGTGGGCTGCATGCCCACGGGCTGGAGAAGGACCAATCCTAACATAGGCAATATGAGCTCCAGCTGTCTGATCCTATCTCCACCCCCCACAGCAGCCCACAGCAATTATACAATCTTCAGTAATGAGCTCCTGTTTCTTGGGGGGGTGACCCCACATAGTTTGGTTTTGCTGCTTCCCTGAGCACTCCTGGCAAGTACCTACGTGCCTTAGGAAGGCATACAACATCTCAGGGTGACTTATGACTGCCCAGATCAATGTTGTAATTACCTGGAACTATGTGAGCGTCACTGTATCTTAAAGAAGTGGTTCTATGCATATTTCACAGACGCGCGGACTGGGGACTTTCATTGACAGGTGATTTTCAGATAAATGACCTCAAAGGCTGAGTTCCAGAAGCATGAGGAGAGAAGGATGCCCCACAGACATGTTAATGTGGAAGGGGTCCCCAAAATGAGGTGAATTTCTGGGAGAGATTTTCTATGGCTATGTGAAGGCTCGGTCTGCACTGTCTTCATAACCCAGTAGCAACCTACTTACCTGCTGGATAGCTCTCTCCCTATTGGACCAACACACCGTTTATACTCAATGCTGACTAGTGAGGGATGGACTCCCTTGGTTCCTGAGCCCTACAACCTGCTTCAGCTGTTCTTTGAGTTACCTACGTGAAGATGAAGCTGGGAATGGAAGCTAGAAGAACAGCTGGGAAAGACCAGGTCTGGGTGTGGCCTCCACACCTTCCCAGAGAGGGTTGAATGAGGCCTTCCATGGGTTGGGGGGCAAATGAGGGGCTCATGCTTACGGTTCCCCCAGAGGCTGCCTGGTGTGCCCTTCTTTGCTGCAGCAGCTCCTTCACTGTGATCTTCACTCGGACACCTTGATACACCTTCGGTTTCTCTGGGGAAAGGCAACTGAGTCAGTGGTCAATTTCAAGGTTTGGGTGGAGTGAGGGTCCCCTTTATGGGTTATGGTACCAAAAGCTACTAGGTTTGGAGAACACAAAAGGGATAGTAAAAGATGGCCTACATCCCTCACTCCTAAATTTCTCAGACTTGATGGGATTGAAGAGAGGCTGAGCAGTTTTCAGGTCCCTGTGGGAACAGAATGTATGGAAATCTGGGGGTTGGGCCCCATCCCCAGAGCAGCACACAGGTGGTTCAGAGGCCACCAGGGTGGCTGACCAAGTTGAGGGAACCTGGGGTTCTGGATGAAGGCATTATGGGGGGGCTCTCCAATTTATAGCAGCTGACCTAGTCCACCCCGTCATCGTGCTGTGTCCACTGATGTGAAGTCCCCAGTATCTTCCTTCTCCACCAGGCCAGACCTGGCTTCTGGGGAGGCTGCAGCCTCTACATGCCCTCACTCTGTAAGTCGGCCTTGGGGCAAGCAGCAGAGTTTGGCCAGCCTGTCTTGGGTGGGTGAGGGACATTCCACGCTGACCCCAGAAAGGGGACCAGGTCCAGGGAGCTCCCATCCCTTTCTTCCGTCCACCTCCCCCTAGCTCCTCTTCCGCTCTCCATCCTTTCCTCCTCCCTTCTGTGGCCCACGCTCCTGCTCTCCCCTTCTTCCCCTCTCTCCCCACCCCTCCCTTTCTGGTGCAGGCGTTTCTAGGCTGCGCACGGAGGCTCGGGGACAAGTCGGAGCACACAAGGTCCGGGAACCGGCTTCCAGGGACCGCGCAGCCGCCGGGAGGCCGACCTCCGGAAGGAGCCGCCCTTGAGCCCGGGAGGCCGGGCCGCATCGCCAGGGGAGCCAGGGTGGCCGGGCGCACGCCGCGGGGGTCCGTAGGGACGGACCGCGCACCCTGAGCAGGGACAGCCTCGGCCCGGGGCCCCGCACAGCCACAGTGAGTAGGTCGGGCAGGTTGTGAGGCCAGGTCAGGCCGGGCCGGGCGAGCTTTCCAGGTGGGATTGGCCTCAGGAGCCCAGTGCAAGTCCCACCTTGACCTTGGCCCCGGAGTGAGCGTCTGGGAATCGCGCGGGGAGGGGCGGAGCGCGGTGGCTGGGGCTGCAGCGCCATCAGCCCGGGCGGCTTGGCGACAGTGCCAGGCCGCCAGCGCCTCGCCTGGTTACTTTAGGGACCGCAGCTGGACAGCTGGGAGCCCCCGCCACCTGACCTGATCCCGGGAGCTGGGGTCTCCCCAGCAGAGGGACTTGCTCTGTTCTTCTTCCAGACCCAAAGAATCCCGAGCCCGGCCGACAGGGCCCCGCGCTGCACGCTCTGCACACCAGCCGCCTTCCCTCCGTGCTTCCGCCTTCCCTCCCGACTTCCTTGCTCCGTGCGGGGCTCCGCGGGCCGCGGACGCGTCCTGGGGTCGCACAGAGACCGCCACAGTTCAGCTCTGGGCGGCGATCGCGCCCTGCTCTCGCCTCCGCTCACCGTGAGCCTCTAGCTCCCCCCGCCGCCGCTTCTGCGCGCGCAAGGTCCGCGCCGCGAAGCCGCAGGAGAGGACCATGGAAAAGTGGGAGGGCGGGAGGGGGCCTGGGGTACACGGATGTCCCGAGAGGCCAACGTGGCCTCTGCCTAGGGAGCAAGCGCCGAGTGGGAGCCGCCGCAGTGTGGCCTCTGCCGTCTCCGATCCCCGCCTGGCCCGGCCCTTACTGGCATGCCCTGACTTTGTGCCTCTCTGTTACATGCAGGAAAAGCTGTGGAAATACACCCGGGTCGAAATGCCCCTCGCCAGCCTGACCCGACCCCCGGAGAAGCAGCTGAGTTACCGGACATCGTGGTCAACAGGAGCTGGCTCGGAGGCTGGATGCTGCAGCTGCAGGGACTCAGCACCTAGGAGGACTCCTGTGCAGGGAGAAAGGCAGAGATGCGACATTTTTAAAGTTTCACAAAGCATCTGGCTGCACCCAGGTCCCTGGAGCAGGAGACACACAGAATTAATGTTTTATACCTTCGGGTATAGGTTTGAGTTTTTTCCCCCTCATGCCAAGTATTTAAAACCTCTAGAAACCCATGATTTGACAATCAATGATTGCGCGATACTTTCAATTTGAATATTCAAAGGCTTAACAAAATGGACTATCTTCTGCAGAAATCCTGTACACAGGCACCTCACAGAGAGTCCAGAGAAACAGGGAGTGAGACCCCTTTGGGTCCTGACCCTTGCTTTTCTTGTATTTTAAGCATTTTATCCACCTTCCCACAGACAGAGCAGGTGTCCTCAAAGATGCTCTGTATTTCTGCCTCAAAGGCAGCTCAGAAGCTCCAAGTGATTTGGGCTGTCCCCCATGACCACCTGAGCCAGGCTAGCCAGTCAGACTGATCCCCACATCCACAATCTCCATTTTAAGAGAAAATCTCAGGTTTTGAGGACTGAATATGGCAGCCAGTGGGTGTGGCATGGCACAGGGTCACTCTGGGCCCAGGGTGCAGGCCAGAGGACAGCAGAGGCCTTAGTTCTGCACTTTTGTGTCCCTCTGGTCCCACCTGACCACGTGCAGGCTTCCCTCTCCTTTTTCAGCCGGCTGACTTCTAGGGCCCCAAACACTGGGGTTTCAGTGCTGAGTGCTTGCCCACTAAGACCCTTTACTCCTCATTGTGGATCTGGGGAGACCTGTGGGCCTCATCCACTGGAGAATTTTAGGTTTATGTTTCATCATTGCACCGGGAGGTTCTCTCTTATGTTATCTTTCTCCCTCTGGAGCCACCCCTGCCTTCTTGCTGTAGGAGCATATGTTAGGAAAAGGTGACAAACTTGGCTCTTGCCCATTTCAGCTGAAAGGATGGGGATTTGTATTCAAGGCCTCTTGCTTTGAGGGGAGACGTGGAAGGGTTTTGAGGTTAGCTTTCCCCCTTGATCCAGCCCAAGCCCCTCACCAGTGACTTGGGCCTGTACTGGTGCATTTTCTCCAAATCACAGGCTGTGCCTCCCTTTTGCCTGTGATTTGGAAGATGGAAGAGACAGGAATGATCACAGAGGGAGCAAGTGCCAGGCCAAGTTCTCTTATAGCTCCTAGGAGAAGGGGCAGCACTAGAGGACAGACAGGTGGGCTTCCCTTGGCAAATAACCAGGGTTTCCCAGGATGCCAGACCAGGTGATGGTCTGAAATGAAAATTCCTGATCCTCTGAAATGAAAAAAAAAAAGTTTTAGTTCCATAGGCCTCCAGAAGAATATCTGAATGCCCTCCAATATGTCAGATGCAGAGTGCAACATAGAAAGAGTGTCTATGACCAGACTGTGGTGGGTAGGACTTGTTGAGCTCTGGAGCCACATCTTTTGGGAGAGAATCAGGAACACCTGAAGTGGTTCCTGGCCGTGGACTGCAGGATGGAGTGTGTTTGTTTCCAGCCCAGCTGGGATTTATCAGCTCTTGGAGCCTATTTCTCCAAAGGCCCTAGCCTGTGTCTTGGGTTTCCCTGCAGAAGCCAGGCCTGAGAACCATCTCTGAGGAGGGGAGGGACAACGGGAGTTGACAGAGCCCCTGCCCTCTGTTGGTCCCTTCTTTGCTAAGCCTGGGCACTGCAGAATTAGGGGTAGTCTCTTGTTCTCATTGTTTCTTCCATTATGCCTGTTCTTTTCTTCCCTCTGTTTTACTCCTATTTTTTGGTTTGCTATTTAAAAACTTTGCTCTTTGTCCTTTTGGCTATTTTTTCCTGGGTTTATTTTTCTGTGTTGCTTCCTGTCACTACTGTCCTCATTTCCTGTCTGCATTGCTGTAGTTCTCCCTGGCTCCCTATGTACCTCTGTTTCCCTGATCTGGGGTGCTGTCTTGTTCTTTCAGGCTGAGTCTCCTTTCTAGCCTCTCCTCTCATGTTGAGATGAGCAGAGAACCCCGTGCTCCCTTGGCAACAACATGAAGTAATTAGGTACTCTGGAGAAGGCAGACAAAGCTGGTGGTGTGTGTGTGTGGCTTTTTGGAAGTTATGGAGTCTGCAGAAATAGCAAAGAACTCTTTGTCCCTTCTCCTGGAAGCCTCTGCCTGGCAGCAGTCCTGGGCATCTGTGTTGGCCCCTGATGTTGGGATGGACAGTTCAGTGATGTAGCTAGCCAGCAACATCAGAAAATTAGATTTTCTTAAGCCTGAACCCTGTTTTGAGAAAGAACTCCTCCCCTGCCCTTTACACTGGTGATTAGCCAGACATTAAGGAGTTTTGGTTTCTGTTGTTTTGGCAAAACCCTAGCACAAGTATTTAAGAACCAAGTGCCATGCTTGTGAAAGGGCTGATCCTTTATAAATGGATGCTGGGACTCTTCTCTACAGATATGCATGTGATGACGTCTGCAGCAACTAGCCACTTCTGCACTGAGACCTCAGATGCCCACAGAACTGGGTGTTCCTCATTTAAAAAAATTACTTTTATTTTTTGCAGTACTGGGGTTGTTCATGCTGGCTAAGTGCTCTACCACGGAGCTACATCTCCAACCCCATAAGAGACTCTTTAAAGTTGCCATCTACTAATCATTGGATGCCAGGCACTGTGTCATTTAGTGTCCCCATTCCACAGATAAGGAAACAGGCTTATGGGGATAAATGGCTTGCCAAGATTAGTGAGCACTTAAATGACAGAATTAGGGTGCAAACTCTGATAAGACTTACTCCAAAGCCCTTACTCTTGACTATTGTTATCGTCTTTCTGATATTTTATAATAGTGGCTTTTGAACTTTTTGGATTTCAATCCACAATAAGAAATTCATTTTATGTGCTCGTATTTATCTGTAATAATACTTATATTATAAAACAAACTATTCATGAGATAATTTGCGCCTATATGTGTGGAGCACTATGAAACTTTCTATTATTTCATCTTTTCCATTTCATTCCATTTATGAGAAATATATGATAGTTACTAAGGTAATTTAATGGCCTACTAATGAGTTAAGAGTAGCATTGGAAAAAATGCCATTGAACATATGGCATATATAGAGGTGTATTTTATATATATATATATATATATATATATATATATAACACATCCTCAGTGCTGTCTGTTTTACTATCAGCGTGGGTAAGGAGCTCAAGACAGTACACCATACTGGGGTAGAGTGTTCTAGAAACACTGGAACCTGAAGAAGAGATTGGCTGGAGGTGAGGATAAGCAGTTAAACACATAGCTTTTCAGACTGGGACCCTTTTGCTGGGGGCATTGTCACCTTCAGGGTGTTTGCTCTGAAGTCCTTATAATCCCTTGGGGTTTTAATAAAAAAAAAAACTGAAAAAATGTTGTGTGAGTTGACCTGCTATAATAGGCTCATGTGCTGGAAAATATAACATAGGGTCTTGATGCTGAGTATTGGAAAGGACAGTGAAGTGCTGTA